TAGTACACAGCTGTTATACAGCTTTAACTTGGTTTGTATACTGTACTGTCCTGACTTCCAGATGTTGATCATGCTTCTGTCTGCAGATCTTGCCTTGCCGAGTCTGTTCATGATGTCTTCCTTTGTGCCGCCGCCAGTTTTGATAATGCTGCCTAGGTTGGTAAATGTGTCTGTTATAGGGAGGTCTGTGTTGTTCACCCTAATCAGCGGGGATTTGCGCTATACAAAATGCTTTCTATGCTAAAGAATGCAGAGTAGAGGCCCCGATGGCCTGAATGAAGGGCTCCAGATTAACTTTACCGCAATATTGAACCATTGCCATCGTGAAAACGATTTGGATCCCGAATCATCATGTTTGTGACCTGCTGCTATTGAAGAAACTTAAATCTATTTTCCATAAAGCGGTGCCGATTACATGTAATACTTTTGGCCAATTATTATTTTATTTTTGTGTTATTTTTTGGAAGGGGAGGTGTAAAGAGGGGGGGGGTGTAATACAGCAGTTAAAAAAAAACGAGTAGCATGCAACCTTCTAAAAATTTATATATCTATGGAATTGTACTGTATTGTTACACAAATTTCAAGTAACCAATTAAGAAAATCAATATGAAATGAACATGCCCGGTTGACCACTTGCAAATCCTCAAGCTTGCTTACATCCCAAGGAATAAGCTCTTTACTACTGGGTATTGTTAACAAGCAGATCAAGGGGAATGTCACACTGGGTCTACATTTTGGGCAGGGTTATAAAAAGACAGAGGGCTAAGCAAAGTAAAACAGAAAGGTTTTCTTCTGGATTAGCCTTGCTTTAACTTCAGCTTAGCCATAATTATACCATAGTTGAGGATTACCAGAGTGGGAAACACACTGTAGTACAATGTAACTTCAAAGTCGTGGAGAGTGGGGATTGGGGGTTGTGTAGTGTGCGCACAATTTTCAGACAATCTTGTCGAGGCTCACATGCAGGTCTAAGGAATGCTTTTTGTTGTCTATAGGTAGAAGTGTCTTGTCACCAGTCCCTATTAGTAGTCTTCTTAGTTGCATTGATAGTTTGTGGGTATGGTCTGCCTCTCCTTCTTTTCAGGTTAAACGTGGCTGTTATTATTGTAATGATTATCTTTAACCCTTCCAGCCCCAGCTATTTTTGTCCACTCCCTAACCCCAGTCCCAGCCAATACAGCAGTATTAAAAAAAAACAGGCATGCATTCTAAAAAGTGATATGGTATCTTTGTAATGAGGTTTAGATAATAACATATAACAATGTTTAGAGGAAAATGAATGAGTATTATGAAAATTAAAGTTTAATTAGGTTCACTAATTTTGAAAAATGCACAATTCGGTACCCCTCTGAAATTGAGAATATACGCTCTTGAGATTGTGGGAGGTACAAGTACTGCTGAAAATACATGCTCATGTGGATGGAAGGGTTAAATGGTAACAAGTCTTTTTAGTATTGCCATCTTTCTGATTAATAATTAATTGCACAAATGTTGGTTGAAAATTGCCTACAGCTGGCATTTAGACATTTTGTATGGACTGATAAGAGATTCAGTTCTATCTCTTCTCCATAATATAGTGAAAAATCAAGATTTTTTTTTTGAGGAAAGAGGAGGAGGGTAGAAGAAAAGTATTTATTGGAAGAAAAGACTGAAGGTGAAAATCTACTAAATTTACTCCCCATACTAGTGATGCAACAAATTTAGTAAAGGGGTGTGTGCACTTTTCATTCAAATGTCAGAGCAATTGCTGTGTCTATTTACAACTGGCTATATTGCACTGCACAATTAGTTTTGGAGACCTGCCTGGTTGATATTACCCAATTGCTTTTTCTAACATCCTTAGTTTTTTTTCTTTCTTTTTCTTCATTTATAATAAATATCTGCTTGTTTGTATTTCATCCAAATTCTTTTCTGTACATTTTGGTGGGTAATTTAGTATGGTGAAAATGTTTTTATGTGTTCACTTTCACACACTTGCGGTGACAAAAAAAGAGAATTGGGGCATGACTTCAAAGAGTTAAGTTAGATGGGATTGTGGTAAATTGCTTTGTTCTGTTCTGCAGATTTGAGAAATGAGCACAATTTTTTTTTTTTTCTAAAAGAAAATGATTTTCATACAGAGATAGTTGATCTGTGAATGCGAGAGGCTTTGTAGAAGCAACTGTTCATTTGGGCTGTAGTGGGCCTCACTGTTTCTTGGTATATTTATTATAGCTCACTTCATTATATTTCTTCCTCAGCTGGTTCAAGCATTGAGAATTCTTGGGAGAGTATAAAAACTGTTGCTGATCCCAGCGCGAGGTCTGCCATTGTAGGGAATCTGCATCCGTCCTCCTACTACCGCTTCAGGGTGTATGCAGACAACTTGGTGGGGCCCAGTGAAGCCAGCGATGCCTTTCCAAAAGCTGAAGTAGAAGCTATCAAAATGCCTGCTCAGCGTAAGTTGCAGCTGTATTTGTTTTCTTTTTTTGGAGGGGGTGTTGATATTCATAGTCCATTCTAAACAATTGATGCCATCTAGTTTGTAAGAGAGAATGTGCTTGGTTGGCAAGCCACTTTCATCTTTTTTTTTTTTTTTTCGTTTTTCTTCTGTTTTAGCTTTCTTTATAGATTGGTTGGTTATTCAACAGCAGAGTAAAGAATTGCAAGACTGCTCATTGCTGATGAAAACTTTTAAATCTATGATCAGTATATCTAGATGCAGTTTACTTTCAAAATAACTTGTGGATGCTTGTTGTAAATGAGAGAGGAGGAAAAAAGGAGGAGGAGAAGAAGAAGGAGAAAAAAGCTTGGGAAAGGTATGTCCCAACAGAAAGGCTGTTCATTCAGAAAGAAGGAGGACGAGGAGATGTGATAAGAGAAGGAGCATGAGGAGGATATGAAGAGAAGAAGAAACAGAAGAGTAGGAGGAGAAGAAAAAAAGGAAATGAGGAAGGCTCTTTTGCTGACTCAGGCCTGTCTGGGTGGGTTGTTGGCGGGTGCTCTGGTGTTGTTTGCTCCTTATTTCCTATCCCACATCTATCATTCCTTTCTTTCCTCCTTCTTTTGTTGTATGTTGCTATCTAGTAACATCTCTAATATTTGGCACATATATGGCGTGATTATGCTGCAAGTGCTGTAAAAACTGTAACTAAAACTTATAAAACTAAAACTAAACTACACGTGCCTGTCTTGTCCTGTGTGGCCAGCTCCGGGTGAGGCCCCCCGGAATCTGTTCTGCCGACAAGGCAGCCAGCAGGAAATTGTGGTGCAATGGGAGCCACCGCCGGAGGCATCATGGAACGGAGACCCGCGGGGATACTATATTTTCTACAAGGTGAAGGGCCTTCTGTCGTTTGTGTTTACACTTTTGTATTTTCTTTTGTGTGTTGTAATAATGATAGCTGTGCGTTTTTATGCGTATGTGCTCATGAGCTTGTATAGATTTCTGATTGAATGTAGGTGATTGGAGGGCACTCTGGTGTGGTTTGCTCCTTCTTCCCTATCAAACTTCTATTGTCCTTATGTCTCCTCCTTCTTTTTTGTGCTTGTTGCTCTCTTGGAACATTGTTAATCTTCTGAATTTAAATGACCTTATGGTTTTGCAAGTGCAGTAAAACACTTATTGTGTATATGAGCATGTCCAGCCTTCTGGGATAGAGATCTACATGGTGAATGTGGCTCCACTTTCTCTCTCTCTCTCTCTCTCTCTCTCTCTCTCTCTCTCTCTCTCTCTCTCTCTCTCTCTCTCTCTCTCTCTCTCTCTCTCTCTCTCTCTCTCTCTCTCTCTCTCTCTCTCTCTCTCTCTCTCTCTCTCCCTCCCTCCCTCCCTCCCTTTCTCTGTGTGTGTGTGTATGTGTGTGTATGTGTGTGTGTGTGTGAGAGAGAGAGAGAGAGAGAGAGAGAGAGAGAAAGAAAGGGAGAAAGAGAGAGAAAGAAAGAAAGAGAGAGAGAGAGAGAGAGAGAGAGAGAGAGAGAGAGAGAGAGAGAGAGAGAGAGAGAGAGAGAGAGAGAGAGAGAGAGAGAGAGAGAGAGAGAGAGATGGATAGATCTCTTTTGAAAATTTTTATTGCAAAGGAAACTACAGACGAGTACACTTGTACAAATATATGTACACTTTCTGGTCACCGCCGTGGAGGCCCACTTTTTAAGCTAGGGTTAAATTGTCTTTCCCTCAATGACTCTCACAAGAAACCTCCCATCTAGAATAGCCATTATCAGTTGATATCATTGCGGGTAGTTTTCATTTTATTACTTACCCACCACTTGACCATAAGGACCTGCAGTTGAACATTTGTCAGATCCTCTGCTTGTGGGTGGTTGGCAGGTGCTTTGGTGTGATTTGCTCTTTTTTTCTTATCAAACATCTATTGTCCTTGTCTCTCCTTTGTTTTTTGTGTTACTCTCTTATAACACCTCTTTTCTTCTGCACTTATGTGACCTAATTGTGTTGCAAGTGCCATAAAAACACTTACCAAAACATAAGAAATCCTCAGCCTAAAAGAATTTTCTGTACACATGTAGGTTGCAGGATTTGCTGATGACACTGAAAAAGTGAAAACTCTTCTCGGCAAAGATGCGAAAAAGACAACTTTGAACAACCTTGCCTACTACAAAAAATATCGCGTGAAGATTGCAGCTTTTAACGAGAAAGGAGGAGGGGTGAACAGTTCTGCGTTCTATGTGACCACATTACAGGGTGTGCCCACAGTAGCCCCGGGGAATGTGGTGGTCAGCTCGCCCAACTCTACCACCATAAGGTAGGCTCTTTTTTTTTTTTACAGTTTGCCTTTTATTGTGTCATCATTGGAGCTGTTTTTTTTACAGTATGCCTTTTATAGATCTTCATTGGGGCTCTTTTTTTTTTTTTTTACAATATGCCTTTAATTGATCATCATTGGGACTCTTTTTTTTTTTTTTTTTTACAGTATGCATTTTATTGATTCTCATGTGGGAAATCTGGGTTAAGATAGCAAGTACAATACATATATTGTTGGCCAACTGTTAAAAAAATGTACTAAGCCCAAAATTTTGAAATAAAAAAAAAATTGCAGTTTCTTAATCTGTCAGTGGTGCAGGCTGCACATGCTCAAGAAATATTTGGCGAAGTTCAAACTCTAAATGTTGAAAAAAGCAAGCAAAAATACATAGTGTAGATACAATTAGTTAAAAGAATGAAAATTTTTTTCTTTTTCCTGAAAAAGTTTGTTTTATGGGCTTAATACACATGCTGATGATATACAGTTTGGCTCACACATAGCGTACGTATACGAAACATGCACATAGGGAACAGATTTTTCAGGTCCTTAATTTCATCTTATACATGCATATTCTTTGTATTTAAAACCCATACTTAGCGAAATTTGTGCATAACGAAAAGATTTCCATGTCCCACTGAGTTTGCTGTGTATGTGTTAGACTGCATAATAATTCATTAACATTGTTATATTCAATATCACACTAATATGTACAGTCTTACAAACACACCATTGCAATGGAGTTGTTTAGTTAGTTGTTTACTCTTTGGATGATGAGCTCTGAGTACTGGTGACTTACCTTTAGTGAAGATTATTCTATCAAGATTCCTAAATTGTCCAGAAAATAGAAGGGAATCCAAAGTGTAGAAATGTTGTTTTGGTGATGTTTACTTGTAATGTTGTGTATGTTTTTGTATGATTAATTTCTTCAGAGGGTAAATGAATGTGTTGCTAAAGATGAACAAATTTATACAGATATGCTGCTAAGAAAAAGTTATTCTAAGAGGAAGAATGTTGATGTTTTGTTTTGGGCAAAAAGAAAAGGAAGAACATTTGAAAATTGACATAATATAAATTGTGAGTTTAAGACTCCTGAGAGGTCTTCTAGCGGAAGGTTGGAGTACGATGTTGGTAGGCTGTACTCCTTTTATATTGTTCTTTGTTGTTTCTGTCTGCTTGGCTTGCCTATTTGTGGGTCAGCAGTGTCCAGCTCTTTTCTGAAAAATTGTTAGAAAAAAATCTTTCCCTTCCTCATTAGAGGGTAGTTGGTGGGTGCTCTGGTGTGGTTTGCTTCTTCTTTCCTATCAAACGTCTATCAGGGGGACTCTCGTGGCCTAGAGGTTAACTTTTTATCTCTGAGAGGGGTAAACCCACTATGCCGGGGCCCTTTTTTAGTGGCTAAATCTAAAAATGACAAAAATGTCATTAAATGGGTTTTCAAATCGAAACTAGCAAACCAATTTTGATAGTTCTTTATCTAATGACTGAACTTCCGGTAAAAGAGACCTGTTATCCACAATTGCCAAAAAGTAATTATTATCGAAGTCGTAAAGGAATGTGCCCGAGCCGCTGTCAGCTGCTCACCGGCACGTAGGTTCTGACTGCGAGCCGCTGGGAGCGGCTTGCCGGAAATAAAGAGTTAAGGTGTTCACCTCTCATTCAAAGGTCCGGGGTTCGAATCTGGATAGAGATTGGAAAATTTTTTTCTCTAAAATTTTCTTCTTTCACCTCCTTTCCTGCTCTTTAGCAATGTTCTGTCATCCGCTTTGGTCTCCAATTTCTGCCCCCACCTTCCTCACCTTCTTTGCCCCCTCCTCTGGGCTCCTGACTCTTTCTGCAGCCTTTTTATTGCTACTACTTGGCTCCTTCTTACTGCTGTCATTCAGCCACACCCCTGACCTTCCAGTAGGAAAGATCTACACCTTGCCTTCTCGGACAAGGGTGAAAAATCTCAAAGGTGTCGTGTGCAAGTTGCACATGATGTTAAAGATCCCTTGGTGGTCAAAAATCAATAAGAGTAGGCTTCGGCCGCTACCCAGGCAAAATTAAAAATTTCCTACCAACTGAAAATGTTTAATGAGTTCTGCGTGCTCATATGACCTTATGCTGTTGCGAGCACTGTAAAACGCTTTGTAAAAAAATATATATTTCTTTAAAACCAAAAAAAAACCCCTATCTATCGTCCTAATCTCTCTTCATTTTTTGTGTTGTTACCTTCTAGTTTAATCTTCTGCACTTGTTTGATCTGTTGCAAGTGCCATAAAACTCTTACTAAAACTTCCTCGATATAATTGCAGACTTGAATGGGACCCTCCCCCTCCAAGACTGATCAATGGTGTGAACCAGGGCTATGTGATAGAACTCAGCCAGGGCATGTACACACGGGAGATCTCCGTGCCGTTTGACGAACAGAATCCCAATGGAAGACAGGTACGTTCAGTTGATTCGGACATCTGTCATTACAGGTGCAGGGCACCAGGTATGGTGTGCTGTAAGTTCTAGAAGCATCAGCACTCTGTGTTAGCTTTAATTGTATCTTGATGATCTTCGGTGCACATGATATCCCGGTTTGAATCCCCTCGAATCGTCAGTGGAATATTCTTGAGTTTGAGTTGTTTTGAAAATTTCATAGCTTGCTGTGCACTTGTCTAAATAAATCCTATAAGAAATGCATGGTACATCAGAGGTCCTTCCTCACAAATCGTCTTATTCTAGTAAAAGGAATTTTAAAACTATGCCCCCTTGTGTACATAAAAAAGTATGTTGGCCATTTTCATTGTGTGGAACAAAGGAGGATTGATTTGGCCCTTGTTCCGTAGATATTTCAGCAGCTGTGACCTGCTGTTTCTGACTAGTTTTATGGAGTTTGACTTGGGATGTCTTTCTTATGGTTGTAGATTAGTTGTGAATGTTTTACACCCCCACTGACACATTTTAGATTATTTAGGGCAGGCTGCTTCGATCCTGGCTGTCAGGGTCGACCTTGTCTGAGTGGGATACAGCATCTTACCAAAAAATCCCCCCAAAAACTGAGGTACACAATAAAACAGACTTCTCCACTTGGGAGTCAAATTCACATCTTCTTTGTGTTATGGCAAAGAGTTGAAGGAGCCAGTATACTTTCTTTTCTCTCAGTTTATGATACACGGCTTTAAAGCAAGTTTCCTGTACCGGGCAATTTTTTTCCACTTTCTTAAATGACTTGACAATCACAAGATTTCACACCTCTCGTTTGTTGAGATGTTTTTGTTTACTGCGTTAACGGTTACCATGTAACTGTGCTCTCTCTCTTCAGGCGTTTGACATCATAAATCTGCTGAAGTTTACAATGTACGAGGTCACGATAGCTTGTCGGACAGCGACGGGGCCTGGACCGTTCAGCGCACCCAGATCCTTCCGCACCTTGGAAGACGGTAGGTTACATCGTCAAGTACTGAATGTAGGTTGATACTTGTATTTTTTTTTTTTCAGATACAATTTCAGATTTACTATCATTTATTTGTGCTAAGATGGTTACACAGTTAAATAATGATTGCAGGTAGCTTAGCTGTGTATTTGTTCATAGATGATAGATAATATCGTCAAGGAATGATTCCAGGTTGTTTAACACTTTACCATCATATTTTGGGGAAAACCCGAAGAAACTGGGTGGTAAACATCGCCGATCGGCAAGATAAGGCGGCAAAGTGTTAACAGTTTATTTGTTCTGAGATGGTAGATTATACAGTCATTTGTTTGTTTTAAGATGGTAGGTTATGTAATGTTTTATTTGTTCTGAAGTAGTAGGCTATTTATCCAGGGAACGATAGTCTGTTGTTTAACCTTATATTTGTTCTAGGAAGGTAAGCTATTGCATCAATAGTCACATATTTGCTCTAAGATGGCAGGTTACTTAGTCATGTAATTATTCTCAGATGGTAGATCATAAAGTAATTTATTTTTTCCAAGGTCTATTTCTGAGCTCTTTTTCTGTTGTGAAGTGTGTCTGTGATATATCATTCTGTTGACATATTTGTGATTGTGTCTATACAGTGCCTGGTCCAGTCCAGGATCTTGTCATTGACAACATCCGAGATCGTTCTCTCCGCATCAACTGGAAACCGCCTCTGGAAAAAAATGGCAATCTTACAGGTACAGGTTTATCTTTTCTTATCAATCCTGTGGTATGGTCCTCGATAAGGGGAAATAAAATGTGTGATCTGCAAGGTCCAAATAGTGTTTCGTATGAAGGTCAGTTTATTTCTTAGTAACGTGACTCCGTCTGGGCAGATAGGTCTATTCATTGTACAACAAAGTTTGCTTTTGCTAAAGAAAACCTTGAAGTGAATGAAAATGGTTTGACTTCATTTTCTTTTCAGATAATTATGTCACTGAATGCATTGAAGTGTTCACTTCTCTCCCACCCACCCTCGCATTAATTCATTATGTAGATACTGTAAAGAATAAAAACATCACATAAGATATGACATGATATGCAGTGGAACCTGCCACCAATAAAAGAAAATCACCTGTACAAACAGTCACTTCCCATTTCCTCCCTTGTGTATTTTTTACATTTTAATGACACTGTATAAGATGATTACTTGTCTAACATGGCCACTTTTCCCCTGGACAATAGGTTGCGGAATAAGACAGTTTCCACTGTACTTTGTTTATCCTCTATGTGAAGAACATGAGGGTGTGCTTTCATCAGCTCCAGCGACACAAAATATTATACATACCTGTCAGCATAATATATTCTCTCTCTGTGTGTTTGTGTCTCTCTCTCTATCTCTCTCTCCCTCCCTCTTTCTCTTCTCTGTCTCTTTCTCTCTCTCTTTCTCTCTGTTTCTTTGTCTCTGTCTCTATCTCTCTGACTCTCTGTCTCTGTCTCTTTCTCTCCCTCTTTCCCTCCGTCTATCCCTCCCTTTCTGTCTTTCTCTCCCTTTCTTAATCATTCTATCACTCCCTCCTTCACTACTAACACAGAACATAATGACTGTATGGAAAAATGCAGGTCAATTACATGACAAGAAATATTATGAGAGTTAATCATATGGCTTCTTTGGGGATGATTACAACTTTTATATTTCCTTGGAATTAATCAAAATGCTGATTGTGAATCAACCACGGATGTGCATGAAGTCTAGCTCCTCTCCCAGTTCGAGGGGCGGCGATAAATGTACGTTTTGCATATTGTGAGCAGGTACTTTTATAATATAGAAGTACTCGTGAAAACTTATGATGGGATGCACATGTGCAGTGTTTACTAGTGTATTATATTACCCTTTCTTTCCCCCTGTTCCTTCTATACTCTCAACACAGAGCTAAGTGCTTTGTCTCTCGTATGGCCTATTAGGGTCTAGTTGGTTGCTTAACTCATCCAAAAGCCAAAAATGAAGCAAATCCGTAAAAGAAAATTTTGTGCAAATATTTTTATTTGAGAAGAATGTGTCTGTTGATGTCTCTTCATGTAACAATGCCTTTGATCTTCTTTGCCTCTGTTATGGCATATTCGAGTCTAATTTGTTGCTAAACTCATCCAAAAGACCCCCCCCCCCCCCAAACAAACCAAAAAAACACTAAACAAATTTTTATTTTAGAAGAATGTGTCTGTTGATGTCGTTTCATGTAACAATGCTTTTGATCTGTGTGCAGGGTACAGGATCAAGTACCAGGAGAAAGGCGTCCCCACTACCTTGAAGACAGAAGAGGCAGGTCCAGAGGTGGTTTCTCAGACCATATCAGAGCTGTCGTACCGCACCAACTATATCATCTCTGTGGAGGCCAAGACGCGAGTGGGGCCGGGACCCCCCAGTGTCTCTGAGATTGTCTCGGGGGTTCCCCCAGGTGAGAAGGGTGCTTGAGAGGTCAAGCTGTTGGATTCATATATGTAACGTCATAGATGAAAAGGCCGCTTTTTATTGAAATTATTCTTTGAAATCAAATAAGCTTTCCCAAAATCATAACTTATGTTCAGCAGTAGGGTTAAAAACGTTTCAACTCCTGGCTTGATTTTTAAGGTAAATGTTGATGCTGCTCTAAGATTTCTACATTTGTTTTCCATGAACTCTGTTTTAGTCAAGCCCCCCCCCCCCCCCAAGGGAAAACCCCCAAAACAAAACAAAAGAAAAACAAATAAACAAATAACAACAATCCCCTAGAAAAACCCAAAACAAAACAAGCAGCCTGAAAAAACACATGTTGACTACTTGTTGTATTTAACTTAGCCTGAGCAGAACATTTTTCTAATACCCAGTGCATTTTGCAGATAAATTTCCATTTGACACGTTTGATGACGGCTAGGTTTTCCATCATGGAGGAGCAAAAGCTACCACTTTGGCACAGTCCAATCAAATGCTTCAAATTCAAACGTTTGTAATTAGGATTGTATTTCCCTTGCAGAACTGCCTGGTCCTCCCACTAGGCTAGCGGTCACCAACATTGAAGCTCGGTCTGTCTTGCTTCAGTTTATCCCGGGTTTTGATGGCAAAACAATCATCACCTTATGGATTGTTCAGGTAAACATGTATTTTTTTGTCAGTGTTTCTAGCTTTGCTTTGTTGGTGTAGTAAGTGCTGAGGCTATTGATATTGTCACCTAGGTGCTTACTCAAAGAACAGGCTTTACGTTGATTAGGTTCAACACAATATTTTAGTTAAAAGCCATACTTGTTATTGGTTTATAATCACTGAATGTGGATCATGGTTGCGTGTCTATATAAGTGCATATATATACACGAGTCTGTATGAGCTTATGATATTCTGTGTGTGTGTGCATACATACATGTTGCAGGGAGTTTATCCTATGTGTGTGCATATGGTTTTGTATGTTTGTGTATGCGCCTCTGTATATCTATAGATATATGTGTGTGTTTCTTGACCAACGTGTTTTTGTATTTGTATGTGTATGTTGTATGTGCATCTGTGGGTAAAAATTAGCTCATAATATGCCAATTCAATTCATGCCTCGATTTGTTGTCAATATTCTTGCAGGCTCAAGTAAATGACGACCCAGAGTGGACTCATGTGTACAACATTAGCGACCCTGATGCTGACCAGATCACGGTATTGAACCTTCGGCCTTACACACGCTACCGCCTGCGTGTCATTGCTCAAAACATCGTGGACAAGAGTGAGCCCAGTGAGCCCTGCGACCGATTTGAGACCATGCAGGCAGCCCCAGGCATGCCCCCTGACGATGTGACACCCAGGGCCATCAGTCCGACAGCCATTCGCATGCGCTGGAGGGTAAGAGATACAACATTTTGGAGGGAGGGGAGGAAATAATCCATTTAATTTGTTTGGCTAAACCAAGATATGGCTTTAAATTGTTGTTGTCGTCTTTATAATATACTGTGAAACTGTTTTTTTTAAAACTGTGTATTGCTGTCATTTGATAGGTGGGTGGTTGGAGGGTGCTGCTGGTCGGTCTTACAACTGTGTACTCTCTCGAATTGTTTCTTTTCTGTGTTGTCTACAGTTATGCTTTTTGCTGGCACCTCTTGGTCTTTCCCCGCCTTATCAATCCATATGTTTAAATAGCTGGCCAGTGTACTGCTGGGGATTATAAATTTGACCAGCATTCGAGTTAACTTCCAAGCACGGGTCTAAATTTTTCTTGCCCATCCTAGAATATCATGTCTCTTACCACCATGCCTTGGTGGAGACCAATGGCTCTGCCTTTGAAATGGCCTTCTTAGTGTGCCATAAAGTGTTGGGATTTTGTGACAAAAATAATGGCAAAAAATTCAATTCAATTAAGCTGTTTTGATCTAATAGTTGAGGACACTACTGATGGGTCTTACTTTTTTTGTCCATCCCCCTTGTGATATCTTTCTTTTGTGCGCTTTCCCCAAGCAACAATTATATCATGTCCATGTACTGTAAATTCTTGCAAAATGAGTTATGAATGAAAGTAACCACTTTAGCAAATCCCCTGCATTTAGAAGCAGCCATGATTATTTTGATGTGCTTATTTTTATTTCAGTATAAAAAATGAATAATTTTCTAACCACATGTAGCAAATCCCACGCACGGAATGGAATGGCAAATTTCTGGGCTATAAAATCTATTATCGTCGCTGGAGTCTGGATGTGGACAACTCAACATCACCATCAGATGTGGCTCAGGTCCGGGAGGACCAGTGGACCGAGGTGGAGCTCCGCAATGGCAGCATGGTGCAGGAACACACCCTGACAGGGCTGCAGGAGTGGCTGGACTACCAGATCTACATGATCTCCTACAACAAGGTGGGCAACAGCGCTCCCAGCGAGACTATGTCAGAGAGGACCGAGGAAGATGGTGAGCAAATTGCTGAACGATCTTGTTGTTTGGTGTAGGGGTTGGGATAGTGGTGTTTGTATCCTGGTATTTTAGTCTCTACTTTTACTGATGAAGCTGATGTTGCTGAGGTTCCTTTTTTATGATGACTAAGTGTTGTAAATTATTATTTTCATCATCTTTGTTATTCAGTGGACACGTTGTTTAAGTGTTGATCACTTGGGTGTATTTATGAACAAGATATGATTGATAACTCTAGCTACAGAAATCCTGTGTTTCTATGATTGTCTGTATCATTGTGATGTTGTGTATTGTGTGACTCTGACCAATTGTTGAATTTTTGTGTGTGTATGGCATTGTGTACAAAATGCCCATAAAAGCTTCCATAAAAGTGGTTTTTATTTTCTTTTGTCTATTTTCTTTTTGTAATTGTCTCTTAGTTGTTATTTTTTAACATTCTTAGAAAAGGATACAATCTTATTAGATATCTAGAAGGACAAGTTGTGTTTGATTTATTAACTAATTTTATCTGCTTCTAGTTTTGTTTTTAGGTTTTAGTTTATGAAGATTTGAATGTTTAGTCTACAGGTGAGTAGAAATGAGCTGTTTGCATTTAATGAGATGCGAATTTACTGTCCTTACCTGCTCCCTTTTCTCCTTTTCATCCCCAGTACCTAGTAAAAGTCCTTTCCTAACCTTCTCCCTTTTCTCCTTTTCATCCCCAGTGCCTAGTAAAAGTCCTTTCCTAACCTTCTCCCTTTTCTCCTTGTCATCCCCAGTGCCTAGTAAAAGTCCTTCAAACATTGACTTGTTAGCAACATCATCCACCACCATCTTGGTCAGCTGGGGTTCAGTGCCGGTCCTTGAGCAGAATGGGAACATCATTGGCTATAAGGTGGGTCACTTTTTATACTGAGACAGTTTTTTTTGCAATATTGTGTCTTTTTGTTGTTGTTGATGTTCCTACCATGGCTGCCATGTTAATAATTCTTTTCAGACGTGCGCACGTTGTGAAAATGCAGGTTAAGAACAGTTGTGAGCCTCGTGTAACATTGCCAGACGCCATGAAAAGGGTTAACCCATAGCATACTACTTAGGCTTCTCTTGCTACACTTCTCTTCTCCCAGATAAATAGTTTTGTTTCAAAACAACTGTCTGCCTTTCCACCTATATATTGAAAATGTTAAGTACAGCTTGTCACTTCCTGGTAAATTTGTAGACTCAAATGTGAATTTAAGACATGTAGAGTTGTGCAGTTTTCCCAGTCTCAGGGTTCACAGGGGATTCATCTTTTTCCTCTATTTTTCCATGGACCTCACTTTCTTTTTTTTTTTTTAAGGACATGTATTTTCTTACAGACCAAGTTAAAACAGGGCGCTGACAAAGAAATATGTTGTATCAAGGGTTCATTTGATATAAAATCCACAGTTTACTTTAACATGAACGGAAATTTCTGAAATTTTGATCCTTACTTTCTAAACTTGAAATTTGATCTAGGTGAAGTACAAACCTCAATGGTCTCCAGATGTTGAGTTCAAGAAGGTGCAAGGAGCCTCAACCTTCAACGTGACCTTGACTGGCTTGCGTAAATTCATGGATTACGACGTGCAAGTTCTGGCCTTCAGCCGTATGGGAGATGGAGTTCTCAGTGACATTTACAGAGTGAAGACGGAAAGTGATGGTTAGTAGTTTTTTTCCCCCCAGGATTTTCTGTCTGTTTTTATTTGGTCTTTTTTGCATAACTTTAAAACTTTGCATATCAGCAATGGTTTATGTGGCCTACATGTGCATTTATGGAAATATCAAGCAGGTAACAAAATGTTAAAACCCTAAAGAAAAGTGTAGATAGTTTCAAAAGTGTAGCAATTAGCTCAGTGGTTGGAATAAATATGAAAAGGAGAGAAAGAGAAGAATGGCAGAGTTTATACATCAATCTGGATATCACAATGGAACATTTGGGCACAGATATGATATTGATGTGTGTTGTTCCAACTCTTAAAGGG